TACGTCAGTTTTTCAGCAACCGTGTTTTGCATCGTCGAAGCGATCCGATGCGCCGCATGCATGGTAAACATTGCAGAAAAAAAAGTGTGTCTAAAGATAGATAGACACCGGAGACATCGCCGTGGCGGCGAAAGGAAACGAAATGGGCAAGGGCGACATTTTTTAATTCCCTAAAGGACCGTGCGCTAGGGACAGACTTCTAGACTGGTCCGCATTCCGTACGGGAATTACGTGCAGCCGAAAACGAGCGAGTCCGACGCGACGCGACGCGGCAACGTGACGTGTTCCGTAAAGGGAGTAGTTTCTCGGCGCGGATCTTTCCGAGGAGTTTCCCGTTGGATGAAAGGCAGCAGCAGACTTGCGCCGAACTGCTTCGCAGAACGAGCTGTGTGTCGGTGGTCGGCCGGCACACCGGCGGCACCGCCACCGCGCCGGGACGAGCAACCTCCACTCCGTACCCTTGAACCTAACAGACGCTCGCAGCGTTGCCGCCTCGTGCACCTATACCGGCTATACGCCGTGTCGTCTGGTTCGACTGTGCTCTCTCGGCCTCCTTGTTCGCTTCCTTCGCAAGAATTCCACGTCCGGCGGCGTAGTCGTCGTCGCTGTCGTCGTCGTCGTCGTCGTCGTCGTAGTCGTCGTTGGTGGCTGGCTCGACGCCAAGCGGCGCTGACGTCACGGCTCGGCGTTACGCATAGCGTTACGTAAAAAACGTGCTGCTGAACTGCTTCGTGAAACATGTCCGCGGTGTACAGTATATGCACGACGCCCCGGCCGACGTGGCTCGCCGAGCGTAGAAAAGAAAAGCCCGGACGAAAAATTCGTGACCGTTCGCGGCGCCGCGAATCCACGCAAGGCCAACGAACGTTTCGTAACGTTTCAGGGAACGAATAAGGGACACTCGTACCGCGGCTATAAATACAGGGAGCGAGAGAGGGAGAGAGAGAGACAGAGAGAGAGGGAGAGGGAGAGAGAGAAAGAGAGTCATTTGAGACTCGAGACTGCAATTTCAATACCATTCCCGCCGTAAACTATCAAACGGAAACATCTTATTCGAGGCGACTTACGAGAACCGACGTCTCGAATGCGTACTACCTAAATTTTATTATTATATATTTATTATATATTTTTATTATTATTATATATTATTATTATTATTATTATATATTTATTATATATTTTTCTACCCAATAAGATGTCGTTAAACCGGGGATATAGTTATGCAAAATAAAAATTTGTCGCATCTGTTGCAAGAAAGAGTAGTATCTTGGAACTATCATTCATCGTTTGATCAATCTAATCGAACGAAAGTATTATATCGACGCTATTAAATGTTTCTAATATTTCTACCGTTTTAACAATTCCAGATATCTACTCGTTCTTGTCATAAATACGTTAAATCCGCAGTCTAGTTTTATAATATTCGTTGGTACGCGTTCAATCGGTTTTTATCGCATAGAAGGAACAGACCGACGAACCGTCCAACAATTCGTGCGTCGCTATTGGTGTATCTGCGTTCATTGCCAATCATTCGGAGACGAAGGTCCTACCGCAATCTCGTATTATTTCGGCGCGAAGTGTGCCCCTCGGTGAATGTCTATACCGCACACGTAGCCGAGCGTATTCGGAGGTCTCTCCGTTGCGAATCGTAACTCACGATGTATATGTAGTACTGTTACTCGTCTCTGTATGGTTATACATATATGACGTGGTCGTGCGTTAGCAGTTTTTTCTTTCGTCGTACATTGGCCTTGTCGTTCTGGATCTGGGTTACGCTCAGCCCGTGCTTTCTCCGGTAAGATTTCCGTGTCTGTTGGCGGCGCTGGACTGTGTACAGTCGGAAACGCTCGGCGGATGGTGTGACGTCACGGTCGCCGGTGTTACGTAAAAAAACGACGAAAAAACCGTGTATCTCGTGTGCCCGATCGAGCCGTCCGCAGTCTAATAAAATAACGAGGGACGGTTTGAAAATGACCTTTGCTTTTTTCCCCATCGGGCATCGCGTGTTTTGTATCTTTATCTCCGTACGTAATACGACTCTACGGCGGAGCACAAAATACAGGGTGTCCCAAAAGTGTCTCGCAATCCGAAAGTGGCAGGTTCCTCGGGTCATTCGAGGTAACTTTTTCCTTTACAAAAATTTTCTCCGAGGCACCGTTAACGAGTTATTAACGAAAAACAGTGACTAATGAGAGGCGCAGCTCGACTGGCGCGAGGCGATCGAGCCAATGAGCGGAACCGGGCTTCGCGCGCTGGTTGGCTGGGCCGCCTCGCGTCAGCCGTACTCGATTCTTATTGGTCACTGGTTTTTCGTTAATAACTCGTTAACGGTGCCTCGGAGAAAATTTTTGTAAAGGAAGAAGTTGCTTCGAACGATCCGAGGAACCCGCTATTTCCGGATTACGAGACATTTTTGGGACACGCTGTATAAACAAATTCGGCGTATCGTTCGACTCCTGGTCGTACGGACTAAACTGTGAAAGGGTTAAACGTGGAGCGACGTGTCCACTGTGTGAATTTAATCTTTGTAATACGAGCCGCGACGGTGTCGATAGCGTTGCTTACGCGCGCGTTCCCGGTGCAGAGCTTATGAATTCTTTTTCTGCTCGCCGGTGCATTGGCGTCGCGTTCACAGTCATCTCGAAACTGGGCTGCGCTCGAGTACGCTTTCTCCACAAGAATTTCATGTTCGTCGACGATACCGACCGTCGGACAGAGCATTTCGGTCGCTGTTCGGCTCAGCCGGGTTCGTTGGAGCCCGGGCGAGGAAGAAAATAAACTGTTCCTCGCTTGAACAAGTTCATTGAATTCCAAAGCACCTTGCGCACCGGTCAACTTCGAGACTTCTCTTGCAAGGATTCCAGCGACCACGTTGACACGTCTCTAATATCGATCGGCTGCCTCGTTCCAGTCGAAGCTGCAGTTTCACACCTGAACCTATCCGAGCACTGAAAAAGCGATTCACGCTCGTTCGAATCGTATTTATTTAGTCGGTTAAATCGATGTTACAACCGAATGAATGCCCGAATCGCTTCCTATATAAGAACCTCTGTGTCAATAATCTTAAAATAAAAAATGTGCAACCGGTCAAGATGACCGTCACGGTAGGTTTAGCGTTAAATAAAATTACACAAGTAAATATCAAAGGTAGAAAGAGTACGAACAACTGTTATTATTATTATTATTATTATTATTATTATTATGGTTCTTCCCGCGTGATCGACTCTGCGAAGGGCCAAGAGGTTCGTCCCTCAGAAAAGACTGCACGGGGAAAATAACTTTGTCAAAACAAGAGCCATCTAACAGGTTTCGCGTGTGTACGGCTAGCATAAGCTATGCTCGAGAGCAAACATCCTTTCGGTCGGCAACAAAGGTCAAGCATGAGATCTTCATTAAAGCCTGCATGATCCGATTAAACGGTGACGACGCGATTTATCAAGCTCGCTCGGTTATCCTTGGCAATGGTTCGCCGCCCTTCTCGCTTGAAATCGTTAGACACACGGGCAAAAAACCTGACGTGATCAATGGATCTCGCTATATGTATAGCAGCGACGCTAAATGTCGAACAGCATCGAGCGTGTGCGAGCTGACGTCTCGCGGGCAACGTTGCGCGTAGCGGTACGCGACAAAAAAAAAAACATGGCCGATGAATCAGAAACGCGTCGGTCTATTACTGTTAAGGACGTACGATGAATCGGCTGTACGGTATAGCAATGAAGTCGGCGAGCGTGCTCATTACAATGAGAAATAACTAGCCGATACGGGATTAGTTTTCCATCTACCGATATCGATCCACCGATGAGACACGTGGGCAAAAAATCCTGCTCATCGATAGCGCTGTTTATGCCAACTCGCGCGTGATCGATGGAAACGGATAACCTCAAAATTTCGTTTCTCGTTGACTTGAATCGCGACAAAAATCGTTTAGTTCAATTAATTGCAAACGATTGAAAGGAAGATCGTTGTTACTACAAAATCTTAACTTACACGTACACATACAGGGTGTTCCGAAAATGTCTCGCAATCCGGAAATGGGAGGTTCCTGAGGCGATTCGAAGCAACTTTTCCCTTCGCGAAAATTTTCTCCGAGGCTTCGTTCAAGAGTTATGAACGAACAAACACTGACCAATAAGAGGCGAGCTCGGCTGGCGCGCGGCGGCCCAGCCAACGAGCGCGCGGAGCCCGGTTCGCAAATTGGCTCGGCCGTCTCGCAGCAAATGATCTCGCCTCTGATTGGTCACGGTTTTTCGTTGATAACTCGTGAACGAAGCCGCGGATCGCATTTTCGCTAAGGAAAAAGTTGCTTCTAATCACCTCAGGTATCCCCTACTTTCGGATCGCGAGACATTTTCGGTAGACGCCCTGTATGCGCGTACGCGTACAATCGTTTCAACGTTTCAAAGATGCGAGGAAAGGAACGCGCGAGAAAATCGAATTCGCCAGTGGTCCACGAAATACATAATTCGCGTTTTCCTTTTCAGCGAATATATGTGTATATATATATCGTTGAGAAATTGGTTTACCGTAAATCAGCATCCGCGAGAGATCGGCTTCTCTTCGTTCGCCTCCTTTACTCTCACTCGGTCTTTCTCTCGGCCGTCTGTCCTCTCCCGTTCGCACGCTCGTGTGCCATTTACGAGGCAAACCGGTTTACGGGCTTTTTGCGAACCTCGGCTTCGCGAAGAATGTTGATTTTTGCGATACACACCGCTGGGAACCTAACCTACATCATTATCCGGATGAGCTGGCCGCATTCGAGAAGTCTCGTTTCCCCGCGGACCTTGAGCCCTCCTTCTCCCGTGCGCGATTTTATTTTTCGTTTCCATTATTAACGCGCGACGGGGGGAGAGAAAGAGAAAGAGAGAGAGAGAGAGAGAGAGAGAGAGAGAGAGAGAGAGAGAGAGAGAGAGAGAGCACACTCGATGCACTCGCGCCGGGCATTCAAGACGAATGTCCTCGGGGACTCGCCGCGCCGTGACTCGACGGGCAAAAGCCTCGGCGGCGGCGGCGGCGGCGGCGACACGCACGAGCCTCGCATCTCGCATCGGCGAAACGGCGGGCCGGTGCGTGCGCCACCGAGAAAAAGAATTTCAGTCACGAGCCACAGCGACGACGGCGACTACGGCGGAACGACGACTTCATGGTCGGGGACGAATTCGGCAATGTCTCTCGGGTAAGACTTAACAATTCGGCGCACGGCGGCCGTCGCCGAAAATATTTTTACTACTGAACGCGCGCGGCATGCGGCCGCCGTTGATTAGCGTAAGTGGCTATTGTTCTCACTAACCTACAGCACTGTGCTCATTATCATTTTTCACTCGTGACAAGCACTCCCAAACAGTTGCAACGGCCGGCGTCCCGATAAGTTTGCGGCCGACGGCCGTGCCACGTTAATTAATCATGGCGGCGCTCGCTCTCGCGCGCGCGACGCCCGGCCGCGAAAATTTAAATGCATCCGTTGTATTGAATGAAAGTGGCGTGGCCCCGGAGACACGAACGCGGCCGATCGTATCGAATTACATCGGGTGTCCCGCGTAACGTGGAACAACGTTCTCCCTTGTCAGCGTCTCACGTTCGTACCCGCCATGTCGTGGCGCGCCCAATGCCGCGTTTCTCTTTGTCTCGGGCCACGAGATATCACCGAGAGTCCTCGGTCAATAGAAAATAGCGTCCGCTGCACGATAACGCCTTGCTATGTTAACAAGGAATATTGACGCTATCGGTCAAGGGACGATTTCACGTGTGTAAACGTTGAAATAGGCGAAGAACGCTTTCGACGAATATAATTGAATATTTTACAATCTATATACAGGGTGTCCCGAAAATGTCTCGCAATCCGGAAATGGGAGGTTCCTGAGGTCGTTTGAAGCAACTTTTTCCTTTGCGAAAATTTTCTCTGAGGCTTCGTTTACGAGTTATTAACGATCAAACACTGACCAATAAAAGACGAGCTCGACCGGTGCGCGGCGGCCCAGCCAACGAGCGCACGGAGCCCGGTTCCGCTCATTGGCTCTACCGTTTCGCGCCAAATGATCTCGCCTCTGATTGCTCACGGTTTTTCGTTAATAACTCGTAAACGAAGCGGCGGATTGCATTTTCGTTAAGGACAAAGTTGCTTCGAATCACCTCGGGAATCCCTTACTTTCGGATCGCGAGACATCTTTGGGACACCCTGTATGTATATATCGGATGACGGATTTTAGAGATTGTCGCAGGATAACTTCGTAGATGCATCCGTAATTTTGTGAACTATTTTGTAAAATAATTTTGTTTTTCAGGGTGATCGAGCGGTGCGGGGAAATATGAATGAAAGATCGAAAAATACTGTCCGGGTTGAAATGCAGGAGATAACGCGACGGTAAATGGTCCGCGGAGGTTAGTCTGGATACGAGCACCGCCGACAAGCTAAACGAGCCTCACTGTCTGCAATCGGAAACCGGTTAGACGAAACTTTCGAAAATTCCAGAATGACGTAGTCTTTAGCGCGTGTGTACTTGCATCGTGAAGATACACAGTCCGTGGTCTCTCTCTCCCGTCGTTCTTCATTTACAGTTACTTACGTAAGACACTCCCGGGGCCCTCTTTCTTGTCTGTTCGACGCATGACAATCGACTCGGTCACGTTTTATCGTATGCGAACGAAACGCACACGTGCGCCCCGTCGTACTCTCGAGTGCTCTTTCGTCCATTATTATTAGCCGCGTTATTATTATTTCTTTTCGGATAAATTTATCGTACACTTACCTTGCGGTCACCATTGTTAGAAACACTGTATTAGCACGATAAAATTAATCACTTTGCCGATAAAGTTGCACGAACGCGCGTACGGTAAACACTTCGCCGCCGCGTGCTTGAAAAGCGTTTTACAAGAAATATTTCAGCAGAATATTTTCTGCGCATTCCACAGAAAAGAAACAGATGATAAATTTGCATGCGAGGCGACCAGAAAAGGCACGCTCGAGCCGAAGAAAGTGTGTATCGATTTAGCAGGATCGGATCGAAACGCTACATTTTCCCCCTTCGAATGCGACATCGATGGTAAGATCGATTGTATAGGTTACACAGGTCTGGTAATAATTAATGTCGTTCTCCGATACATTTTTAAAACTAATTTATTTCAACAAAACCAAACAATTTAATCAACGATATAGTCGTTAGGTTATATGTAGGTTATGTCAAGGTTGAATTGACAGTTGATGAAGTTAGCGGCAAGCAAACGAACGCTATAGAAACGACGCTAATTATTACTAGACCTAATAATTGCAAGTGATAAGGATAGTTGTTTGAAACTGTCGCTGATATTCATAGCCACCGCTACTTTCTCGTTTACGTAGAAAACGATGCCCTTGATCGAGGAAGATGGAGCTACTAGTTAGCCAAACAGAACAATGGGGGTAACCATTCACAATGGCCTTGAGCAGCCAATTAAGTTCGACATAGCCGTCGCATGTATGTATGCACACTTTCAAATTGTGAGGTCGGAAGAAATATTGCAGAACAGGGGGGGGGGGGGGGGGGTTTTTTTTTTTTT